AAGAGTCCAATGGCTCCCAAGCAGATTTCGAAATGAAAAATTGTGCCTTGTACTTTACCATTCAGGAAGAGGAGGAGAAAACACCGTGTCTGGATTGGAATATTTTCAGCATTTGGGATGGCAGGTGAATTTTAAGCAGAGCCCAGCTGGAATACGGCCAGGCTGGGAAGCACAGTATGGCAGTTTTCTCTTCCCTTTCCATTATGGTCCAAGAGAAACAACAGCAGGTGGAGAAAGTACTTTTAGTCAGATTTTCCCTAATTCCTTGAGGCATTAAAGCATCTCTGCTTTGCAAAGACAATGGAAATCCAGTTTTTCATGTGCATGGGTGTTTTAAAACCGGAATTTTCTGCCGATGCGGGAGAGCAGCAGCTTTCACACAGCTGCCTGCTACCCCAGGGAATTCCCTGCCCTGGAGTGATGGGTGCCGGCCCCCAGGGCCAATTGCAGATGATTCGGGGGGAGGCAGGGAGCGGGCAGGGCTCCAGGAGCTGCCGGGTGTGCTCCGCGCTGTTCCCAGGCGGTGTTTTGGGAAATGATGGCTGGGGATGAATCAGTGCTCAGCCTTTGGAAGGAGCGGGGTTTCCGCGGAGGAGGACGCGGAGCTGCCTGCGCTCGCTCGGATGAGTGTCCCGATGAGTGTCCCGATGAGTGTCCCGATGGTTGCCCCGATGGTTGCCCCGGTGATGCTCCCGGTGATGCTCCCGGTGATGCTCCCTTTGCGGGGGCGCTCGGAGGAGCCGCAGCCGGGCGGTGCCGCTCCCTGAGCTCTGATTCAGTGCTCGGGCCCCGGCTGGGAGCCCAGAGCCACACAATGTCCCTGCCTGCCACGGCAGAGCGTGCCCGAGCCCCGCCACCGGCACCGCTCCAGCGGCAGTGAGGGCTTTTCTCAGGGCTGTGCTTTGAGATTCTGGTCACGGCCCAACTTTTGGTTTTTAGCAAAGATAAATGGTAACTGTGCCATCTCCTGTTGCCTGCAGTGTTTTAGTGGCTTTTCTTCCCATAAATAGCCTTGTGTGTCCCTTCAAAGTGACACTGGAGCATCATTGTGCTGCATGGGAGGCACCCGTGCTTTGAAACCCCAGACCAGCTCTTTTCTGTGAAAACCACACCAACACATCCACAAATCTCACACTTTACAGCTTGTCACTCACATTTAACCTGCTTTAGAGCAGAGGTTTCCCTCGGCAGCTGCGGATGAAATATGCTTCATCCGTGCCTGTTTTCACAAGCACAGGGGCACCCAGGCTGCTCTGCTGGTTTGCGAAGCAGAGTCTGCCCCGCCGGGTGAAGCCGGGCAGGAGCTCGGCTCAGTGTTAATTTTTAACTCGCTGTTGCTCCATGGTGTGGAAGGGAGGCTGCCAGGGAGGTGCTGCTGACCGGAGCACTCTGTCTCCCCACACACAAACACGGGCGGGTGAGCTCTGCTTTGGACTCTGCTCATGCCTGGTGTGCTGGATTGCAGCAGGAACTGAAGGTCACAGTACTGGGTGTTCAGACACTGGGACAATCCTCATCTCCTGAACACTGTGGTCAGGTTAAGCCGGGCTGGTGACTTGTTCCAACCCCATCTTTTCATGGACAGTTTTTGGAGAGATGGGGATGGGTGTTGGATGAGGGGACACAGGGTGGGAGCTCTGTGTGCTCTGCTGTCACTGACACCCCCTTTGCTCTGGGTTTCTCTTTCCAGCACCTTGTGAGCTGCTCCTCACCTTCCCCAGTCTGTTAAGCCAGAGCTTCTGCCAAAAGTCCTCTTTATTTTCTGTGCTGCCTTTCTGTGGTAGTGGGGAACCCCCAGCACGGCTGCTGAGCAGGGCGTTGGACAGGCTGGGTAAAATTAGCTTTTAGGGGCATGTTCCTCAGGATGGGACAGGGGACACCCAGTACAGCCAGCCTGACTCACGGAGAAGAATTAATGGAAACGCCCGGCTCCTGGAGGGAGGAAATTCCGTGAACGGCGTTTCCTCTGTTTGTTGTGTGGGGAGGATGACAATGGCCCGAGCGCCGGGCTGGGCCGGGCCGGGCCGGGCACGGGCGGCGAGTCTGGACCCGGGGACAGAGGAAGGGCCGGCACCGGCTGGACGGGGACAGTGCTGAGGGGGGACAGGGGTGAGGGGGACAGGAGTGAGGGGGACAGGAGTGAGGAGGGACAGTGCTGACGGTGACAGTGATGAGGGGTGACAGCAGTGAGGGGGGACAGTGCTGACGGTGACAGTGATGAGGGGTGACAGTGCTGAGGGTGACAGCAGTGAGGGGTGACAGTGCTGAGGGTGGCAGCACAGCTGGGTGGCAGCACAGCTGGGTGGCAGCAGTGACAGGTAACAGCACAGCTGGGTGGCAGCAGTGACAGGTGACAGCACATCTGGGTGGCAGCACTGACGGGTGGCAGCACTGACAGGTGACATGCCCTCCCACACCTCTCTGCACAGACTGCCCAGCCCAGCCTGGGCTCCCTTCCTGGCTCGGCCGTGCCCTCCCTGACACGTGGGCTGCACAAACACGGACTGGGTGGGTCCAGGTGCTCTGAGCCACCCAGGTGCAGCCCTGGGGATAAGCAGAGCAGCAGCGCAGTGTGTGCAAGGGATGGTTGGACATTTGTACATCAAACTCTCTTTGGCACATGTTCCATGAGTGTTCATTGCAGTTTTTGTTGAGCCCACTGCAAGACTTTCCTTGAGCACAACCCTGCCAAAGCAGCAGACGGGCTACGACCAAGGAAAATTGCCTTTTTTCACTGTAAATATCCAATAATCACATAACTCCTTAGTAAGTGGCCTTTATTTATCAGGGATGGCACTTGGGCTAATGATTTCAATTCAAGGAGACAAGAGGGACTGTAAAATCCCCAAGTCAGCGGATGTTATCAATCATGTTATGCAAATGTTGTGAACAGCACTGTCTGGGCAATCCTGGGACATGCCAGCAGCAGCCACTTCAGTGGGTGTTGATTTCAGCCTGCCACAAGCACGGCTTCTGCCAGATTTGCTTCCTTCTTTCAAGGAAAGGCTGTTGGCAAAGGATACCCCAGGCTGCCCGGGTCATTGGTAGCACTGGGGAGCTGGGCTTGGTTGTGGGGACCAGAGAGTGACAAAGCTCTGGCAAATCCTGCACTGTGGACACCTCAACGTCCAGGGCAGGGGAGCAGGGAGCAAAGCCCCAGCAGCAGGGCTGGGGAGCAGCAGGACGGTGAGGAGCTGGTCTGGTCCTGCAGGGTGTTCTCAGAGCACCCTTAGCAGCTGCCTGGTCGGGTCCTGGCAGGTCACACACCCCAGAGGCAGGAGGGCTCAGGGCTCCCTGCCCTGCTGGCTCCTGTTGTGTTTGTCACAGGAAGCTGCTCTGGGGAGCACCCAGCAGAGCAGGACGGGCTCTGTGACATCCCCAGGACCCAGAGTGGCTGGAGGGAGCAGGGCTGGGCTGTGGCAGGCACTGAGTGCCCCTGTTTGGCTTTTCTGGGAACAGCCCCTCCGAGGCAGTTGTTGTGGGGCTTTTGGGATGTGTCAGGAATGGGTGCAGCAGCTGCAGAGTGTGGGACATCACTCCAGAGGCTGAATGCTGGAAAACTGGCAGCTTCCTCTGGAACAAACCTGCTCTGAGACAGATTTTTCTGAGCAAGGGCAGTTCTGCAAAGCCTTTGGAAGCTCTTTCATCAGGTTCATCCCAAAACAGTTTACTCTCTGGTCTCCCTGGGAGGGGAAATCACTGTGCATCCCACTCCATCTATAAATAATTATAATTGCCCATTCTATTAGGTGACTTAAAAGATTATTTTCAGTCTCCTTGACTTATTGGCAATTTGGATTTCTTACTGTAGGCAAAAAACACTGTAGCTGGGCTATCATTCTTCCAAGCTGCTCTATCTTTGTTGCTCTAAGCAGGGTCATGGGAATGTTTTTATCTAAGCCATCAGGTTATTAGAGGACAGACTTATAAATAACCAGTCTTTGCTATTTTTAAGTACTTTCAGCATCGTCTATCATGATAGTACAGCACAACCTGCAGAAAAACAGCCCAATTCTGCTGCCAAACTTCATAACTTACTTCTGCTTCTTGGAGTGATGAGGAGCCAAGCCCAGGTTCCCTCTCTGCTCTGCAGAAATGTCAAAGGCTGACGAGCCTGGCCCCAAACCATCCTTTTCTACACCTTTCTTTCCTCACTGCAGAAGATCTCATTCCCTTTATTATGGAGGGGAATCTGGCATTGGAGTTGATTAACAATAAATCTGATGAGGTCTTTCTGGGGAATGATGGGGTTGGCATGGCAGCCTGGTGCTGCCAGGTGGGACAGTGGGGCTGTCCTGAGCTTGGGCTGCCAAAGCCATACTGGGGCATGAAGGAGAGGTGCAGGCAGTCTGCTCCTCTTCTCTATGAAATGACAAAAAAGTCTGACCCCACCATTCCAGGAGAACTGAGCATTTCAGACAAGATAATTTATATTTATTTCATAATTTATTAGTTTTCACGCCACTGTATGCAATAAATTATAGTCGACATAATAACATTGTCATAAAATATTGCCATGAAGTAAGTACTCATCTAATAGTGATTGTAACCTACACAGAGAAGAACTGTAGCCATTATATTTAGATTTTTAGTGTTAGTGGTAAGTGAACACAGTATTAGGGTACTTCACAGTAAATTCAAGGAAATCTCTCATTATTATTGCTTCTGTGCAAACGACTTTTACTGCACACATACAGCTTGGGAAGGAAAGGCACAGTTGTGCAGAATGTCTCTGGAGCCAGTGCTGAACTTACTGCACCCCGTGGTGCATTTGGGTGCATTTAACAAATGCAAAGTGACCGTGACAGCAGCTGAGGAGTCTCCAGAGGTCACAGCACCGGGGCTCAGGATGAAAAGGCAAAGCACCCGTGTCAGGTCCGTGAGCACCGAGTCCAGCACAGGGCCCCGAGTCACAGCCGGGCGTGTGGGAGCCCCCAGCTCGGTGCCACGGGGGGCTCGGGCTCTGCTGGGAGCTGCTCTCTGTGCGAGCCTCTGGCCAGCGGACTGCTGGCCACGCCGGTGTGCCACGGGCACCGAGCTGTGCCACGGGCACCGATCCTGGTGTCCTCACCCATGTGCCACGGGCATGATCCTGGTGTCCTCACCCATGTGCCGTGGGCATGATCCTGGTGTCCTCACCCATGTGCCGTGGGCATGATCCTGCTGGCCACACCAGCGCTGCCGTGGGCACCGGTGCCGCTGCGGGCTCGCAGTTTGCCGTGGGGCTGTGCCCTGTGCGGGCACTGTCACGTCCCCACGGGGCAGCGGAGCATGCTGAGTGCGGTAGGAGGTCACAAAGTCCCGTCACAGAATGTTCTCCATTTCTGCTCTCTCCGCCAGCTCAGGGAACTTTGATGGAGTATTTCCGAAATGTCAGGAACTGGAGCAGTTTGTCTTTTCTCCTCTGCTTCAGTGCCATTAGCGCTCTCGTTTTTTCCTCCATGTCCTGGTCGGTGGCGAGGATTATCTTGGCTCTCTCCTCCGCCTTCTTGTCCCCGGAGTTTCTGAAGAGTTTCTGCAGGGCCGCCTCGTTGATGCTCTCGAAGATGTTGGCCGCGGCTTTCTTGCGCAGGGCGGTGTCGAAGCGGTAGCCGTGGACCGAGGGGCTCACCCGCAGGGACGTGGACATGGCTGCAGGGCTGGAGCTCGGCTTTGCTTTCATCTAGCGGGTGCTGCCCTGCGCTCCAGCCCGGGGAATGGGTGCTGTGCTGGCTCCAGCACTGGTATTTAAAGGCAGGCTGGAGGAAAAGCTGGAGGGCTCCGGTTACACCGGTGAGATCACCATGATGTCAACACCCAGCAGTCACAGGCAAGTTTAACATTTAAGTTGCCAACTTTCCTGTCGTGCGGACGAGATGAAAAGTTCTCTCTGCTTCTGCTATGGAAATGGCTTTTTTCTTTTTTTTTGACCCACCACAGAAGAGGCTTCAACCATCGCGGTGGGACGGAGCCAGCACATCCCCAACCCCGCTCCTGCCCTTGCTGCACGTGGAAAGCACTGTGTGCACAATGTATCAGATCACAAACAGGTAAAACTCCAGGTGAGAGCTGCTGCATTGGAACCTGTGCAAAGAGCCAGGCTCTGTGTGCACTGCAAACACTGCAAACCTGCTCCTGTCTGGGCATGGGTTCCTTTCTGCTGCTTCCCAGCAGATGCAGCTCATCCTCAGCACAAAGAGCTGCAGTTTCTGACCAGTGCTGTCCCAAAGGCAGGCAGCTGATCCATAACATCCTGTGAGGTGATTTCGCTGGGTGTTACACCCTCAGCTGCCCGTGGCAGTGGTCTCAGGGGAGCACAAAACTCTGTTTGCTGCCCTGCTCCTGCCTCCAGTCCTTTTGCTTACATTTCTCATTAGTGCTGGAAAGAAAACTCACCTCTGCTCCAAAACCTGTGCTCTCCACACCACCCTTGGCCAATGACAAGCCCTTGGGCTGGAAGGACTCTGTCTTAGTCACACGGGTTAGTTTTGGCTCCTGGAAGGAGCAGGAGCTGGACTTGATGGGTCCCTTCTCACTCGAGGTACACTGTGGAGAGGGCAGAGCTGCCAGCAAGGGGCTCCTGCTGGGCTCAGACCCCTGGTGTTACTGAGCACAATCAAACCTGGCCCAGAATAGCTGGGGTTCAAAAGTCACTCAAGGCCAGGAGCCAGAGATAAGTGTATTTTGGTTAATGTTTTAAAGCAGCCGGATGCTGCAGAGGCTCTGTTTGGAAAACAAGCTCCTGCATGTTTACTGTTGTTGCTGACCCTGTTACTCACCCTTGCTGGAAGACTCCAGGAACTGCCTCTGTCCCCATCCCACTTGGACCAGGGGTTTCCCTTATTTACCAGACAGCTGTGGAAATTACCTCTGACCACACTGAAGAACAGACCCAAAGAAACATCACCCAGATGTTTTTTATTCCACATTCCCTTTAAAACGTCAGTTTGTTTGGCTCCAGGGAGGGGATGTGTCTGAGCCATACACCCCTCTGCAGTGGTCAGTGGGAGCCAGTGGAGAGCTGAACACACCTGAAGCCCATGTGGAGATGTTTGTGCTGGCTCAGAAGGGAGGAGGGGATCACCTGTGAGCTGCTGCTCACCGGGTGAAGTGTGAGCAGGGCACATGGCTGCCTGGGCCCAGAATTACTGGCAAGCCCAGCTCCCTCTGGGCTCTGTTCAACTTCCAGCTGGCCAGGACCTGCCAGGCTTCTCTCCTTAGGAGAGGGAGGGGTCTTATTTCAGTGCTGGCCACTTTCCTACCTGGGACTCGGGACTCATTCGTTGGTGCTGCTGGGCACATCCTGAACCCTGCAGGCACCGTATCCTGCCAGGACCTGGGTTTCCCCACTGCTGCCAGGACTTTGCTCTGGCATGAGCTCTCTCTGCACGTGCCATTGCTTCCTGTGGTTCTGTCACTGTGTGAGTTACTTTTTACAAGTTTTCCACAATTTTTTTGTATGTGCTGGATGTTCCGTGCTTCGGTGTATAAATAACAGCTTTGCAGATCTCTGGGATTCTTCTTCCACCAGGCAGACATGCAGCCTCTCACCTTGCCGTGGTCTTGCCAAATTGGTGAGACCAATTCATCAGCTGCTTGTTCAACATTTGCAGGGCTGATGAATCCACCCTGAAAACAGAACAGTTTTGGTGTGGCTGGATCTGTGCCTGGGAAAGATCTCACGGTTTATAGACTCTGCTAACATGAAATGTGATGGGGAAGCAGAAGGAAGCAGGGCTATATGTGCTGCCCCAAGCCCAAAACACGTGTCTGGATGAAATGCTCAAAGTGCTTTGCTTCACAGGACAGATAACAGCGTCAGGGTACCTGGGGCAAAATTCAGTGCCAGAAGATCAGTCAGGATCTTGTGGCTGAAGAAAACAACCCCTTCTTGTCCCCAGTCAAAAACAAGAGCTGAGGCAGGTTCACGTGCTCCTTGTTTTTACCACTCCCACTGCACTTGGAATCACTGCAGGTATTTGCAGAGATGTGGCTGACAGCATAAATTAGCAATATCTGTGGAAGATACAAGCTCAGAAAAGTATCTGCCATGGAAACCGAGACTGAAGCTGATGCTTTAGGAGTAAGACATCAGAAAGCTGCCAAGATCAAGCACGCGTTCCTTGTGAGCTCATCTCGCACAGAGCAGTAACAAATGTCTTTGCCCCTTCAAGCTTCTCTGCCCACTTTGGATAAATTTAGTTGTGCTTGGCTCTGACAGAGCGATGAAGCATGCCTCGTCTGTTTTTTTTCCAGTAATTTTTGTTTATATGGCTCTTTTAATACTGCTTTCCCAGTAATGCCTAGGAGGAATTATTCATGTGTTGGATTGGAGAGCAACTTCAGAGAAGATGTGATTTCTATCATCGTTCTCCTGCTATTATTGTGTAATTGCTTTGTGAGACGCAAACGCTCCATTTCACCCGTTAATGGGAGGATTAATTCCCATCCCCACCGTTTGCAGGGAGGCGCAGCCACATCTCCAATTGTGCTGTGCCTCTCCCGGCGTGACGGGCGAGGGGAGCTCGGGGTTCTGCTGCCAGGAAAGCCCCGGGAGGAGCGGGAGGGAGGCTGGGGCTGCCCTGGGTGCGGGGGCACACAGTGCCCGCACCACCAACTCCTGCAGAGAACTTGCTTTGCCTTAATGTAACCTCCAGAACGGCTCCAAAGAAGGTAATCCGGGATGCCTGGCAGCTCCCTCGGGCATGTTTTGCATAACTTTCCTCCACTCCTGCTGCCAAAGCCTGCGAAGTCTGGAACACCCATTGAGGATCAGAGGATGCAGCAGCCCCCAGGGAGCATCGGTGCTGCCCAGCCCTTCCCAGCCAGGTGTGGGACGTTGAGAAAGAGAGACTCAGAATAGCCTGTGATACCTGTGAGATATGATTGATATAGATAGATAGATAGATAGATAGATAGATAGATAGATAGATAGATAGATAGATAGATAGATAGATAGATAGATAGATAGATAGTTGCTCTGTCTCAGGTCATTCAGTGAAAACCTAAGAATGGGAAATGTCCAGAAGCCTCCAGCCATCTCTGCTCTTCCCATCCCTTCCCTGGCTTACATGGTCGGGAACTCTGGCTCCTCACGGCCTGCAGCTGGGGAACCTCAGCCCTTCTCAGGAGCCACAAATGCCACTGTGTGCTGGGAAAGGTTTCCGAGATGGAGTGCTCTGCAGACACAGCTGTGGCATGGCTCTGAGGTCAAGGAGGAGCTGGTTCATTGTGCTGCTCTTGGGATCCAAATTCCTGGGAGGTTTCCGGACACCCAGGTCGTGCGAGTGGCAGTGCCTGCCCTGGCTCCAACCTGCCTGCAGCCTCTCTCCACTGGGACTTGTGTGCCTCTGGGACTCCACCTGAGATTTCTGTTTGTTTGGCTGTTGCTTGGGTTTTTCTGTGGTTGTCGTTTCTTTGATAGAACATCTGGGAACACTTGTCCAAATCTCACGGCAGGATGCTGCAGCCTTTGCTCACAAAAACCCCAAGAGTTTAACTTGGCCATCTGTGTTCCCTGTGACTCCTCCTGTGGTCCCCATGTCAGAGGTACGGGACAGGGCAGGTACTTGTCCCCAGGTCAGAGGTACAGGAAGGAGGGGATGTTTGTGCCCAGGTCAGATGTTCAGGATAAGGAGGGTATTTCAAGGGCATTTCTGTTGCAGTTCAGCTGCTGGGAATCACAGATGTCTCACACAATTCTCACACAGCTCCCTGTCTCAAAACAGAAAAAACATACTAGTTTTCAGACAACAGAAGGCATAGTTGCACAATTAAGCCAGTTAGATTCCAGCAGAAAATATTTTAACAGGAAAAAGAAGGCCTGGGCTAAGTGAGGGGAATGCAGCCCCAGGACTGTGCAGAGCAGCCCTGTCCTGCTCTGGCCCAGGGAATGGCTGGAGCTGGGTGAGCTCTGGCTGAGCCAAGCATTGCTGTGTGCAGGGAGACCATATAAGAGTAAAGTCTGTGGTGTTCCTGATAATGAATGTCTCCTCATTTCTCATAAATTCTCTGCTAAATGTACGATCACCGAGTTAATAATGCAGTGCAGGACATAACGGATAGCCAGTTACAGTAAGTAAATCATGTCTGGTAAGAAACAGAAGAGAAACAGAAACTTCTGTCACTTTTACCAGGCAGAACCCCCTGGAAGGAGCCCTGCACGCAGCAAAGCAGAGCTGAGGACACATCTGGTGTGGATGTTTGCTGCCACAGGGGACTGCAGGGCCTGGGGAGGCAAGGGCTCACTGTGTTGGGAAGCCACAGGTGCAGTCTCTGGGTGCTTGAGACTTCCAAAATCCATCTTGCAAAGAGAACCTCGGGCTGTGGTGCTCCCCACGTGCCATGGGAGATCACTCCTGGAATACAGAGTCAGGCAGCCAGAGCATGGTCACAAAAAGAAGAGCCGTGCCCGGGGCTGTGGGGCAGGCCAGGAGTTCCCTGGGATCACCCCCTCAGGTGGGAGCACCTGAAATGGTACCACCATGTCCTGCCATTCCCATGGGAGCCGGGGAAAGTCTTTGAAACCCTGACTTCAGCATCTTCCTCCCAGGTCAGCAATGAAAGTTTGGAGCTCGGAGCACGAACAACCCTTTCCTTTCTCTGCCCAATTTCCTGTTTGACCTTGCAGAAGGTCCCCAGGACCCGTCTCGGAGAGGGGCGAAGGCAGAGCCGTCTCCAGCTGTCAGACAGCTCATTGTCTGCTGCCGAGGGGACAGACTGACGGAAATCCTGCCCTGGGGCTGGGCCAGGGCTGGGCTGGCTCATTGTCACAGCCGGGCTCCCAGTGACCGTACCCAGCACACGTGCAGGCGCCGCAGTGCCCCGCTCTAATCTCTCTCCAGCCGCTTCCTCTGCTGCAGGAGAGGTGGCAGACAGGATGTGCCTTTGTGCTGCTCCGGCTCCTGGGGCTCTGCTGTGCCCCCGGGGCTCCCCAAGCCCCCGGGGTCGGTGCTGGATCAGGACAGGGGGAGCGAGATGGGAGTGGGTGCTGAGGGCGCAGGCAGGGTGGTGGCAGTGCCAGCACTGGGGTCCAGGGGTGTTCGGGGTGACCTGGGGTACCTGGGGAGGGTTGTGGTGGTGCACAGGAGATCCCAGGCTAGGCAGGGGACACCAAAGGCTCAGGCCCGTGGGTCTGTCTGGGGCCAGGCACAAGGAAAAGCCTGGGTGACCTCTGTGCAATGTTTGGGAGCCTGCAAGCAGTCCAGCCTGGAAAACACTGGCTTCGTGTGGAAAGAGCTGAGCCAGGTCCAAAGTCAGAGGCACAGGCTTCTTGAGCAGAATTTAGTTTTCAGCTCCTTAATTTTGTGTCAAAGCAAAGTGGAATGTGGCAGAGGGAGCTCCTGACCTGGCTGTGTTTTGGAGAGGAACAGCTGAGATTTGGGTACGTGTAGCTGAGTAACTCTGGGAGTAGAAAACTGGGAAGGGAAGGAGGGAAACAGCAAAGCTGCATCTGTGGAGATTTATCAGAGAGTCGATGCTGCACTGATGGTCTGGGAGATGAGCTTGGCACTGCAGAGTTATCAGCCTGGTAGCTCATTTCTCCACTAACAAAAGAGCTCCTGGGAGGGAACAGATGGTGTTTGGCTCCTACCAATGTCTCTGGTGGCCCAGCAACTTCGCTTTGTA